TTTTTTTTTTTTTTTTTTTTTTGGTACCAGGGATTGAACTCAGAGCCTTCCATCTGCAAGGCAGGCAGAAGCCCCTTCTCCGGTCTTTTTAATCAGTAATTTCCAGGTGTTCAAGTCACAGCTGCAAGGTTACTTCTGAGAAGTCCTTCATATGGTGGTCAGGACTCTAGTTAAAAGTACCAGAAACCTAATCTTAGTGAGATTGGGTGAAATAGAAAATTTATGGACATTGAAATGGTGGAGACTGGGGCAGATACTCAAAAGCTGATCACCAAGCCACAGAACCTGAATGACACCTACGAGCCAGCAGCCCAGCAACTTTCTCCCATTGACTTGAGTGCCCCGCAGGCAGTGAGGGTGGACCCCAGCCGCTTCACCACCTACGAGATAAGGGTTGAGACTGGTCTTATTTTCAAGCTAAAGGAATCTGTTAGAAGAAAATACAGTGAGTGACTTTGAATGGCTATGAAGTGAATTAGAGCAAGGTTGTAGTTCCTGCACTCCCTGGGAAAGCATCTTTGCATCAACTTCCTTTTAGAGATGATGGACTATTTGATGACAGTTTTATTGAGGAGAGGAAGCAAGGGATGGAGCAGTTTATAAACAAGGTCTCCGGTCATCCTCTGGCACGGAATGAATGTTGTCTTCACATGTTTTTACGGGATGAAATAAAAAAAGCTATCCTCCATCAAAAAAAGACATGCTTGAAATTTGGCAAGAGGCAAAAACGTGACCATTGATGATTCATATGCGCCAGTGAGGACATTCTCAATATCCGTTAGCATGCTACACAGAAACTGGTGTAACATGCTTTCAGTATTGTGACACTCATGTGCTCAGTTTTGCTTAGCAGTTGACAAGTTAATTTGTGTTAGTGAAAGTCTCTCGTTCCAGCCTTTCTATATAAACAGCTTTTCCCTTCTGTTGTTTTTTTGAGGGGGTGGGGTACATCTTTGGAGATGGAACTCAGGACCTCAGGACCTTGTGCTTTCCAGGCAGGCGCTGGTGTCACTGACAAATCCCTGGCCCTTCCTTTCTGTTTTAACGTGGTATACACTAGAGCCTCACACACCTTCCCATATAATCTGCAGGGTCCTAAATAAAGTTTCTGACTTGGTCTCATTTGCAGTTTTTGTGTCATGTTTGCTTCTTCAATCTGATTCATTGGAATAGTTCTCTCCCCGCCTTGAATGTGTAAAGTCACTTGATCTAATTTATGTGTGGGAGCACTGCACCATTCATTTTCAGTGCCACACACAAAAGATACACACGTGGGTGCAGAATGTGTTTTCCTCCTACCCTATAATACCCTTCCCACAGATTAATAAGAGAAACATATTCTATATAAAAACAAATCAAATGTATACACTAACATCAGTTGTCTAAAAGTTCAAGATGTTTTCAAATAAAAATGCATTGATAATACGCAAAAGAAGAACATGAAAAATCATGGGTAGGATATCCAGTTATCTCATGTTACTCTGGGAGCATTGGGGACGGTTGGGTTTTGGAAACTCAAACATTTCCGAGTCACTGTCCCTGTCTCTTCTCTGTGCATGTCCTTGCCAATCAGCTTTTGCTTTTCCCACAGAATAGGAAGCGTGGCTGCTATGGTCTTCATGTAGCACCACTCTCCCGCTTCATGGTGAGAGAAGAACTGCCTCTGCTTGCTTATTTCCAATTTGAGGAGCCCACGGAAGACTTCTGGCCAGGGCAGCGTGGTCGCATGCCACAGGCACAACCTTTGAGGAGCCCATGCTTAGGTTTTGGATTGGTTCACATCTACACAAGTGGGGAGTTAGGTGTTTCTTCCAATGCACATTGTTCAGGTTTAATTCTTGTGACTCCTTAGTGTATGAGTAGAAGCTTGAGAATGAAAGCTCACAGGGGAGATACTTACTTAGCTGCTCTGTGCCACTTGGGTATAAGAGGGGCTTCCCACTTTGGGTAGAGACTTTCATATGTCACCAATATCTATTTTCTCTCCAGTAAGTGAACTAATTTTTAGTTAATACAGATAAAGATGGTATTTCTCAATCTCCTTGCTCCAGCCTGACCAAGAATTATTTTAGCCAATGGGATTTGTTTTGTTTTGTTTTGTTTTTGTACCGGGGATCGAACTCGGATCCTTGCATTTGCGAGGCAGGTGCCAGAACCACTGAGCTAAATCCCTGGCCCAAGCCAATGGGATTTGAATAGAGTATGTTTATGTTATAAGTGTCTTCAGGGGCAGGTGGTATGCTGTTTCCTCCTCTCTGTTGTCTGGAATATAAATGTGATGGCTGGAGTTGGAACAGCTGTTTTGGACCTTGAGGTAGAAGGTGTTATGAGGATGGCAGAGTCACAATATAGGTGCATAGGTCCGTGTAAGAGAAATTAATTTTGATTTGCTTTTTATTTTAGTTTTCTGTCTCTCACAGCCAAACTTAATCCTACATCATTCATATGCTAGTGGGAAGAAGGGTTATCAACAGTGGTAATGGTGTCTGTAGGTGACATAGTCCTTGTCACCTGTGAATCTGTCAGCAACAGTTGCTTCTGGTGTTCTCATGTTAGTGGTCCAGGGAATGTTGGCTCCTTCCTTCCCTACCCTGCTTTCCTCTGTGATGTTGATGTTTTCCGGTGCATTACCTACTTTTTCTACCCTCTGGGGCAGACATTTGAGTTGTGTGAAACTGCTCCCTCCTGCCCAGGCCGCTCCACACACACACACGGTTATTTAGGGCTGCCCCTTCAGGCTTTGGCCAAAAGACAGGATATTTGGCATGTACCGCGAGCTTGGGTCCCATGGGATTTCTGGATGCTGTGGGACCCATGGGTCACAGTGTGAGTGCACGTGTGCTGTGTGTGCCTGGAGTTGTTCTAACATCAACCAGCCATCAGATGCTGACTTCGAGAGCAGTGCAGGTCTGGAAGTCTTGCTGTGTCAGAAGTTAGTTAATCCTAGATGCAGGGTTTCCAGGTGACAATCTGCTGACCAAGGAGTGGGGAAGGCATACAGAGGGCTTGGGGAAGCTTCTGGTTCTTAATATGAAAGATCTAGTTCAATATTACAACAAGCACTTCAAATGTGCCATGTACAGCAGCCTGAATATCCGCCGTACCTGTGTCAAGTTGCTGTGTTTAGCTGTGTTGCACGCTGTGTGTGCTGGGACAGCCTAGCAGGAAGCCATGGAGGGCATAGGCAAGGCATTGATCTCATCCAGATTCCTGTCCTAATAGTGCAGACTGGGGCAGGCAGGAGTGCTGGGAAGTGTTCTGGTGTGAGGGGCTGACCTCTCAAGTAGGCAGAAGATAATCGGGACCTCTGAAGGGACGTGACAGGGTTGAGGAGGATCAGAAGGAAGGAGAGGAGCTGCACATCAGATTCAGAGCAGGGCAGGCAGACAGTGCAAGATCTGCAGCCACCTCCCAAGTCCCCAAAGACACCGGTCCACATCGCCAATTGGGCTGTGCTTTTATTTTGCATCACATCTTCCTGCCCACTACTGTTCTTCAGCTCAAGGCACTCCTGTGGGGTCAGCATTTGCCATCCTTTAGGATCTGGATGTCTTTTTTGGTTTTTCTAGAATCACAGGAAACAAGGATGAGGCCACCTCTGCGGTAACTGTCACATACCCTTTAAGGACCAGGCTTAGTCCACCCAGACACCCTGCTGAGCCCTGCCCACCCCATGTGCCAACGCAGTGTAGATCCTAGGGCAGCAGTGGCAAACCTATGGTGTGCAAGACAACATGGGCTGTTTGCTTAATTAAAAGCTCTAAAAGGTTCACCGTCGCTGTCCTAGGGGGTCTGTGGGTATATCCTTTATAACCTTTCCCCCTTACATACCCTCCCCCTGGGAGATTTCAACCACCGCTGCATGCTAATGGCTGCTAGATCTGTCTCCAGCCTTGTCCCCTCCCGGCCTGTTCATGCGGCTACCACTGCACATCCTTGGGATACACCAGAGGCTCAGCTGTCCACAAACATCACCCCCTAAAGCTGCTACTCATTAACTCCATAATCCCCACCCTGATATAAGACACCACCAGCCACCCATGAATCAGAGAGCACCTGCAGATTAGAAAACAAGCACATTGCTCCTGCTTCTTCCCTCCCCTCCCCTTTCACATCCACTCACTCTGAGCCTGTCTGTCATTTCTACCCATAATGTACCTTGGAACCATGTGTCTTTAATTATCATGATCCTTTTTAAAGCTAGGACAGTACCCGGTTCCTTCTTACATTTCCTCTAATACAAACCACATCTGTCTAGAGCTTTGCAGTTTCTCTTCCATAATCTTATTTAACTCTAGACTGACTAAGGGTTTTATTGGGGAATAAACCAAGATTAAGTAGATGATCTGATGAACTAAAGTCATGCTCTGGCTCTGCTCACCTCATTGGACTCATTTACTGCCTCTGCCTCACTCTCCCTTAAACTACACTTTGGCACGTCCAACTTCTTATACTTTCCTTCGTACAAATGCCCTTTCCCTCCTGGGAAACACACTCATTTTCTACTTCAAATTATCTTCCCTTCTTTTCTCTAGCTAATTTCTACCTATTCCTTCTGAGGGCTGAGCATAGGCGTTAACCTCCTGCAGGCAGCCTTCCCTGCCTTGCCCCTTCCCTACTTCCCTGGAATGCTGTGTGCCCTATCTGAGCCTTGAGCATTTCATGCTCTAATTAGCTGCCATCAGCCTGGCTTCCCACTTAGAACAACTGTGCTCCAGGAGACAAGTGATACTGTCTTATCTTACTGTGCTCTATTCTATCCTCAGTGACTTGCACAAGGTCAGTGTTCAATAAATAATTGTTGGTTTGAGGAATGAAAGAACAAATGTGATTATCTAGCAGAACAAGGAAAAGAGCCCAGGGTTTTCCAGGCATGGCACACACTAGTAATCCTAGCACTTAGGAGGTTGAGGTAGGAGGACTGTGAGTTCAAGGTCAGTTTGGGCTACACAGTGAATTCAAGGACAACCTGGACTACATAGCAGACCCTGTCTGAAACGGTCAATCAAACAAACAAACAAACAAACAAACCAAAAACAACCCAGCAGCTGGGTGTGGTGGCGCATGCCTGTAATCCCAGCACTCGGTGAAGCTGAGGCAGGAGGATCGCTGTGAGTTCGAGATCAGCCTGGGCTACATAGTGAGTTCCAGGTCAGTCTAAACTACATAGTGAGACCCTGTCTCAAGAAAACCAAAAAACCAAACATAAACAACCCACAACAGAGTTTCTACTCCTGCCAAAGTTGGCTTCTGCTTAGAACCTTATGCCTCCCTTGAATTACACTTAGGCTCATTCTGTTAGGGTTTAAGCTTTGAAGACTCTTCTCAAGCCAAGTGTTCATGAAAGATGCCAATCAAGTCTCACTCCTTTCATATTTGCATGCACCAGAGATGGGGCGACCCAAACAAGGTGGGGGGCACTTACATACGGGTCACGCAGAGATGGCACTCATTGTTGTATGTGACCCCGTCAGTGCCACAGATGAGATTAGTTGTCTGGGGACAATTTGGAGGCTCTGCCATGTGCTCGCAGATGGGCTGTGGAACAAAGAGGAGGGAGGGAACTCAGATTTAGGAGGAGTGGGGAGGGGTCCAGGTCCCTTCTTGGAGCCGGAGAGGCAAGGACCAGCCGGATTGAAGAAGACGCATTTGAGTCCAGTGAATGTGAAACCATAGTGTGTTTGCACCTGTGTGTAGGTGACCGTACATTACGCCTGTGGCTGGGTGTGTGCGTAAGTATCACCAGCGTCTGCTGAGCCCAGCTATGTGAACATCCAGACGTGTGCTTGTGTATATTGTGTGGAGCTCCTGGGGACTGCTTCACACACTCCTCAGTCTAACTAGAATTTCTTCTGGGGGTCCGTGTGGGGACCCCAGGAGACAGAACCACTCTCATTCCCAGGAGGCCTCTCTCCCCAGGGACTCCTGAACTCACCCAGGCCTTCGTGGCCTGTCAGCCCACGGCAGGAAGGTGGAACAATATGGGAAGCCTGGAAAATTGAGGCAGGGAACTTACTTGAGGCTCAGCCTCAAAGGACTTCAGGCCGTGCTTGAGACTCAGAAATTGGTCAAGACAAGCTGGGGCCTAGGATGGGGATGGGGTGAAGGAGGCAACGTGGTACAGCAGTGAAGATCTGGGCTCTAGAGAGTTCTGCCCCTGATTGACAAGTGACACAAACTTGGATGCACTCTTTCCGCTCTCTGAACATCAGTTTCCTCATCTTTAAAAATTATTACAAACAGGCTGGGGATTTAGCTCAGTAGCTCTGTGCCTGCCTTGCAAGCACAAGATCCTGAGTTCGATCCGCAGTACCACACACACACACACACACACACACACACACACACACAATTATAAACAATAGTGTTCCTCTCATGTGAGATAGATTAAAATAATATAAGTCCCGAACTTGTGACCATTTGAGTTGCAAACTTCCACGATGTGAACAGACCTTGCATTGCCAACATTCACAGATGCAAACAAATCGCGGAAGCAGCTCACCTGGCCACCGGACACGTCACAGCTGTGCTGCTGTGTGCTCACTGTGCAGTGTGATGTCACTGACTGGAGGAGGAGGGTGAGTGGGATGGTGGGGCTGGCAGATCATCAGCAATAGGAGATGGGGAAAGGTGGAATCTCACTCCCACCTGAGGCTGACGACACAGGTGCTTTGATGGATTCAATTCTGTCCACCCTCTTGAAAAATGATCCAGAGATGTCTGAGTAGTAGCCTTTTTTCTTTCTCATCAGAGATGACTCTATCCTACTGTCCCTGCTCCAGCTAGTAACTCTCTTCTTGTCAGTTCACTTCACGAAATCCCTTACATGCCAGTTGCTGTACTGAGCCACCATTCTAAGGTAACTATACAAGTAAAAATAGTTTACTTACAGCACTTTTGTGTCTTTTTTAATGCTTTACGTTGTATATTTTTGTCTAAGGTGTGTAAGACTCACTTTGTCTCACTTACAAATGTTCTCCCAGAACAGAACTCATTCATAAGTTGCGGACTTACTACACATAAAGTACTGCATTTGTTGGCTCTTCATCTGCCACCAGATGAATGGAACTGGATTCTGGCTGACTGATGCGAATTGGCTGAAGCTGCTGCATGGGAAGGTGGCTTTGAGCCTTTGCATTCACCTGCTTGAAGGGATGGGTGCTCCATACACATCTACGAGGACATCAGCGCCCGTACCACTGCCTTGGACTCACGAGGACATCAGACCCAGCCAAGACAGAATCAGGGTTCAGGGGCAACTTGCATTTGCCTTCTCAGAGTGAAGGGATGAGTGATGAAGTGTGTTTTGGGGAGGCTGGCATAAGCCACAGGGTCATTCTGTACCCCAGGGGTACCTCTTTGGCCTAAACCCTGTGGCCTGTGTACTCTGCCTAAAGCAGAGAAAGTACTGTGTCCTGCTGAGACAGAGAGGAGAGCTCAGAGAAGGGAGACCAGGTTGGGGTGGATCCCAAGGGCTTTGAGACCAGACATTGGTGAAGGGGCTGGGTCTGCTCAGACTGAAGAGGTAACCTGGGGGACTTGGAGGTTCAGGAGGCCACTCTGGCTAACTTGGGGCCACTGAAGATATCTGGACAAGAATGTGGAGAGTAACAACATTAGCACATTCCTAACACGGAATAATACTAACAACATTCCTAGCACGGATGAAAACACTCCTCTGCGAGGGCCAGAGTAGCAAGCAGCTGCCTTACCATTCTGGAGAAAGTGAACTCCCCTGCTGATGCTGTCACTTCTGAAAGACAAAAAGCAAGAATTAGGTGATGTTAGCTGGAACTGATGGTGCATATCTGCGATCCTAGCTACTTGGGAGCTCAGGCAGAAGGATTCTAAGTTTGAGGCAAGGACTGAGATGTAGCTTATCACCATATGGGTTCAACCCTAGTATACAAAACGAAACAAAAACTGTGTTGGAGTTGGGTACTGGTCTTGGGATCTGAGGACTGTTTCTCCTCTGGAGGACCTGGCCTAGCCACTACTCAGTCTGGAAGGAAAGTGAGTCACCAGACACCGGTGCTGCCAGAAAGTTCATATGAGTTTGTGTGATCTTGGATTACATAAATAGAAACAGAAAGCCTAGAATTAGAGAGGTGACTGTTTAGCCTGTTCTTTATTAGATCCCATTGGAATTTTTGTGTCCCACATGATAATGGTAATAATACTAATAATAGCAATAATTCAGCAGTTACTACATGGCAGGCACTGAGAATACATGATTATAAGTACTTTTCACACCTACATTATTACTCAAAGGGAAGGAGGGAGACAGTTGTGGATGCTATCTGTAATCTGCAACCCAAAGTCCATTGCAGGACTGACACATTCATTTCCCCAGCTGCTAGGAGTGTCAATTACTCACAGAAAGTCCCTTCTTAGGAATTACCCTGCGAGAATGGCACTGCCTTGCCTACATTTGCATCCCTACCCAGGGACAGCGCATATCCAATGACATTTTGATGTCTCTGTCTGGAGCTCTTCTGTTGCACTGTCAGCTTCCTGTACCCTCACTGGTGTCACTTCTGTCCACTCTCCCCGATAAATGGCACGCGGTTCCCATTGTCTGAATGACCTAGGAGAGAGGCCTGAAGAGGTCCAGCAGTGCTGAGCACGGTCGCACACACTACAATTCCAACGCCCTGGGAGGCCACGGCAGAACGATCACACATTCAAGTCCAGCCAGGGCAGCTTACTGACTTTAGCAAGCCCCTGTCTCCAAATAATAAAAGATAAAAATAGGGCTGGGAATGTAGTTCAATGTAGCTCACTGATAAGCTCTATTAAGTGGGTTCAAAAGACAAACAAAACAAGACAAACAAGTCCAGGGACACAACTTGTTAAGGCAGAGTCAGGATTTGCACATGAGTCTCACTCCAGAGTCTGACTCTTTCTATTCATGTGGTTGTGCCCCTGAAGATCTGGCCAAAGGGTTTATGGGATATGAACAAACTGGTGACATCAAGTATGACAGGCAGGCCAGGGAACCAGACACATTTCTAAGGGCACAGGTGGGAGGAAGCCGTAAGGTGGAGAAGGGCAAGATGCTTCCTCAAGTCTCTGCAGGGCTGTCCTGGAGCTAGAAAAAGAGCAGAGCCTCTCCATGTAAGGCTGCAAGGAGGTGGGTCTGTTCCGTAGGAAGCAGAGTTTTCTGTCAGTGGGAGCTATGCAATAATAAAGAGCAAAGGAGGCTGTCTGTAGAGGTACTACGTTCCCCACCACTGGAAGTGTGCAAGGCAACCTTTTGCTGAAGATACTATTACGACAAGAGATTTCCAAGGCAGTGTGCGAGGAGATTGAGACTGTCGCCTCTGATGCCCCGCAGTGGGACATCAAAATGTAAATCCAGTCCTGTTGCTACACTGCTTAAAACCCTTCCATGTCTTAATTGCCCTAACTAAAGTGTCCTTCTATGGGAGAATGGATCAACTGTGACACTTCCATACAATGGGATACTTCTCAGCAATAAAAATAAGCAGCTGATATACACTATATGGCTGAATCTCAAAAACATTTTGCTGGGCAAAAGAAAGCCAACATAAAAGACATAAAAGACTACACGCCGTATGTTTGCATTTGTGTGAAATTCTAGAGCAGGCAACTGACCTGTGTGGAGAAAGGGGAGAGCTGTGGTCCCCCTCCCCGCCGGGCACTGGGCAGCTCTACTAGGCTGCCTCTGAGCAGGGGGTGGGGTGGGAGGACTGGCAAGAGGGATTTCTGGAGTGGTGGAAACGTTCTGTATCTTGTTTTGTTTTGGTTTGGTTTTCTGAGACAGGGTCTCACTATGTAGTTGAGACTGACCTGGAACACACTACGTAGCCCAGGCTGGTCTCGAACTCACAGTGATCCTCCTGCCTCAGCCTCCTGAGTGCTGGGATTTCAGGTGTGCGCCACCACACCCGGCTAAACGTTCTATATCTTGATGGAACTTTGGGTTGCAGGTGCACTGTCAAAGCTCACTGATAAACTCTATTAAGTGATACAATTTGTGCATTTTGTGGTATGTAGCTGGTAGGCAAAAGAAAAACATTAAAAATTATAAAGCCCTCCCATGGCTCCCTGTCCTGATCAGTAATCCTCCTTAGGACCTGAGCACCAAGGAGTCTTTTGTTTAGGGTGCTAACAGGAATTGGCCCCAGTCGTGCTCCTTGGGCTCACTTTCTAGCACACTCTCCCTGCCCCTAAGACCCTATTTCCCTCCCTATTCTGTTCCCCCTGGCTGTACCCTGTCTTTTCCTATTGAGTCTAACCAGCCTTTCAAGGCTGACACACCCGCCCTGTCGTCCCACACAATTCCTGAGCAGACCTGGATTCAGGTTACATCAGGAAGGCGGTGCCGTCTCATTCCCTGGGTCGCCCCTTCTTCCCTGTAATCCTGAACTTCCCAGGCCCCAAGTTTCCCGGCCCGTGTAGCATCTGCTCAGTGCTGCACAAGGGGAGTGTTCAAAAATTGACCACTCAAGTGTGTTGGGGGAGGGAGCATTTAGAAACCCGGCCCCTCAGAGTTTCTTCCTCAGGACTCTGGGAAAGGTTGCATTTATCCCCAGGCTTCCCTTGACCTTGACTTGTGGTCCTCAGAGGGCCAAGTGGGAGTCTACACTGTATACAAGGATCTTCTTCAAGGCAGACCCTGAAAGGTTCCCAAGTGAACTTCTCAGGGGATGGGTGCCAGGCTGGGAGGAAGCCACCAGAGCCTACGATCCATTCCTCATTACCTAGGCCCCAGGTCTGTGTCTCGTGGTGGGGAAATAGTCCTGCCAGGCATTGCCTTATAACATGATGGCTTTTGTCCATGTGGGTCCCGGCTGTTCTCCCTGCTTCCCTTTGAGTTTATTCTTAACAACTAGAGCAATTCTTTAAAGCTATAACTGCTCAAACCCCTTCAGTGCCTCCCATTTCACTTAGAGTTTCAAAAAGCCAAACTCTCACACTGGCTCACAAGGCCTTACTCAGTGGAGTTCCCAGTTGCCTCTCTCATCTCCTATTGCTGTGTGTCTTGCCCTTCACTCACCTCCAGCCACACTGGTCTCCTTACAGTCTTCTACTCTGGGCCTTTGCCTGGAATCCCCTTTTCCCCGAAAAATCGAATAATCGCACAGCTTACTCACCTCCTTCTAGCTTTACTTAAACATCAGCTTCTCAGTGATACTTCTCCCGATTTAAAGCTGCAAACCCCTCCCAATCCCTACCACCGAGCTGCCTATCTTTCCTTACTCTTGATCACATTCTAACATACTGGTTTAGGGATTGTTTCCTTGAGGTACTGGGTATTGAACCAGATATATCACCAGCCTTTTTTTATTTCAAGACAGGCTCTCACCAAGTCACCATGTTCAGCCCTCCACTGTAATCTTCCTTCCTCCCTTCCTTTCTATTTTCTCCTTTCTTTTGCTCTCTCTCCCTTCCTCCTGTATTCCTATCCTTCCCCCTCCTTTTTCTTCTTCCCTCCTCTTTCTCTTTCTTTTTCTCCTTCCTTCCTTCTTGTCTTTCTCTTCTTTCCTTCCTCCGTCCCTCCATTCTCTCCTCCTTCCCTGTCTTTTCTTTCTTTTATTCATTCTTTCTTTCTCTCCTTTATTTCCAGTACTAGAGATTCAACCCAGGGGCTTCTCACTAAACTATCTCCATTATCTCCCAACCCCTTAAAAAACTGTCTTCTCTTTGTTGCTGTTTGTTTGTTTTTTAATTTTGAGACAGAGTCTCCCTAAGTTTCCCAGATAGGACTTATATTTGCAACCCTCTTGCTTTATCCCTCCTGGCTCTTGTACCTTTCTTGTTTATTGTCTATTTCTCTTTCTCCATATCCCATTGGATTTAAACTCCATCAGAACAATTCTTTCTCTCTTTTGATCACTGATGTGTGAAGGTTCCAGAACAGCACCTGACAACTGTTTCAAGGCTGTGGAGGTGGCCCAGGCCTGAGAGGAGCCCATCCCAGGTATAAGTTCGCTCCATCCAAGGGCTCCCATCCAAGGCCCTCACCGCTCACATGGCTGTGCTCAGTCCCAAACTATAGTCTGTTGGAGCAGAGCAGCAGCTCAGAGGACCAGGCTGAGTCTTTCTTAGCAGCCATCAGCTTACAACCAACACACTTGCCCATATCGCCTAAGGACTGAGGCCCGCATTCTCCTTCTGCCCTCTCCACCTACAGCCTAGTAATTTCTTAGGGAAGCTTTGAGCTAGAACAGCCTCCTACTTTACAGCTGGAAAAACTGAGGCCCTAAGAAGCAGGAGGTGGCAATTATGGACCATAGTCAGGATTTGGACCCAAGTTTCTTTCTCCCAGCCAGGCTTTGCCCGTTGCGACGGAGGGTACATGTGGGAAAGAAAAGACAAATGTGGAAAGCCAAGCCCTCAGGCGGTGTTCCAGGCTCGCCTCTGCCCACCCCCAAGTGCACTGGCGGACACCATGTTGCAGAGTCTAGGTGCACTCTGCCCACTCACCCCTGTCCCCAGTGAGGAGGGCAGCCAAGGCCAGGACAACTGCCCACAGGTGGACAGCCATGCTGGTTCTGTGCTGGTATGGTCTTGGCAAGCCGGGCCTGGGCCAGGAGGAAGAATGGAGACTGTTTATAGTGCCCATCCCCACCCTTATCTGGCACCAGTTGGAGGCCAGAGTGTCACCTCAAGTTAATCTCTGCATCCTGGAGTCAGAAGGGGACTTGCCAAGGCAGAGATGCTGAGTTTGCAGTGACATGAGCTATGGCTGTGGACCTGGCAGATTTCCAGAGCCAGCAAAGGAGTAGACAACTTGCCAAGGTGATCCCAGGCTGTGAATTGAAGGAAAAAAACAGAGGAGAGGTAGGGGGAGGGGGAGGGAGGGAGAGAGATATCAAGGCAGGAGAAGGAAGGGAGGGAAAGGGAGAGGGGAAGCCAAAAGACAGAGATGAAAAAAGGGAGCAAATAGTCGGCAAGAAGCAGAGAAAAGACAAGAGACATGGCTGTCTTTGCCAGTGCCTCCCCTAACCAACTTTGGAACTTTAGAAAAGTCACTTTTGATTTGTTTTGTTTTGTTTGAGACAGGGTCTCACTATGTAGCTCAGGCAGGCCTCAAACTCATGGTGATCCTTTCTGCCACAGCCCCCGAATGCTGGGATTACAGGTGAGTGCCACCATGTTCTGCTTCAGAAAAGTCACTTTTCTTAACTGAACTCCCATTTGCCCATGCACATAATAGGTGTGATAATCTGGCTCTGCTTCCCTCCCAGGGCTGCTGTAAAGATAGCAGACGAGAGAACATTTAGTGGAGTATGAAATGAGGTAAATGTAAATAGAACTGATTCTTTTTTACTTGTTCTTTTGTTTGCTTACAATGATGTGGGCACAACTAGCAGACAAAAAAAAAACCCAAAACTTTTTAATAGCATGTTTTGTGTGCTTCATGGTCTGGCCCTACTCCTCTGGTCCCTCAAATAAAGCAGATTAAAAGAAAGAGGCCCTTTTGCTTTGCAGGTATTATATACTCCTCTGCATTTTAATGGATTAAATATAGAAACAGTTCTTTCCCTTCCCTTCCCCTCCTTTCCCCTCCCCCCTCCCCTCCCCTCTCCTCTGCTTTCCTTTCTTTCTGTCTTTCTTTTTCGATGGTTTATTTTTCGAGACTGGGTCTTGCTATGCAGTTCAAGCTGGACTTGGACTTATTACACAGCCCATGCTGCCTCAGACTGGCAGCAATCTTCCTGCTTCAGCTTCCCAAGCGCTGGGATTACAGGTGTGTGCCATCATACCCAGCTACATATGATTCTTTTCCAGAAAAATCAGCATCTAAAACTCCGCCATGCCTATATAATATGTATGAATGATTACTCTCAAAGAATTTTGGGGGCTGGGGATTTAGTTCAGTGACACTGTGCCTGCCTTGCAAGCAGAAGGTCCTGAGTTCAATCCCCAGTACAGAGAAAAAATTTCTGATTTATAAAAAGTATTACAAAATTATATCTACTTATTCTTGTCTGTAATTCATTTAGATGAAGGAATCTAAGCTACAGATTCGATTTCTCAGGGGAGAATATTAAAAATACAAATTCTGGGGCTGGGGATTTAGCTCAGTGGTGCCACTGCCTGCCTTGCAAGCACAAGGTCCTGAATTAGACTCCTGGTACCAGAAAACAAACAAACAAGCATACAGACAAATTCTGAGTTTCACTTTGAAATATTTTTTTTTCTTGAGTTTATTGGTACAGTCTAGGTATACAATAGAATTACATTCATCATTGGGATTCTGTACCTTTGAAATATTTAAGTCAAAACATCAGTGTTGGGCTGGGGTGTAACTCATTGGTATAGGGCTTGATAACCTTAATGAGGCTGTATGTATGATCCCTAGTACTGAAGAATGAAAAGAATTTTTTTTTGGATAACTTCAAAGCCTACTGAGAAATTACAAGAATAGTACAATAAGTCAGTGGGAAAATTCTTAGCCAAAAACAGCGGTTGGAGGACATCAGACAACCCCATAGTCACTCTACAGACCAGTAGAAGCCCCAGATGGGCAGCTGAGCCAAGCCTGAGGTCCCCAAAAGTTCTTAACTCAACTTCAAAATCCTCTCGCTGCTCCTTAGGAATGTGCACAGGTCTGTGATTGTCTCTGAGGCAGGTGGCAGCTACCCTTCCATTGCTGAGCCAGGCAGAGCAAATATTTAATGATTATTTCCTGTCCTAAAGCAAGAACACCATCTCATAAAGGGAGGGGAACTTTGACGGTAAACTAGGTCAGTCCCCTATCATCTGCTCTGGCCTTTCTTTCATCTTTTTTCTTTATTGGTACATGTATGGTATACAATACAGTTACATTCATCATTGGGCTCTTGTACCTTTACATGACAGGTCTTGGTTCTTATTGTTTCCCCTTGTCCCTGCCCTCCCTTCACCCCCTGCACTCTTCCCCATTTACAAAGAATTTGTTTCCATTTTATCCCTTTTCTCTTATTTTTTCTTTTCCCTTCTTACCTTTCTCCTATCCCTCCTATTTCCCCTACACCTTTAGATCTTTTTTCCTATTACACAATACCAATTATACATTTTGATCCTTATTCACACTTTTAGTTTACCACACCAGAGAAACTATATGGTATTTACACGTGTGTGTTCTATTAACTTAATATGCATCCACTTAGATATAAATGTCTCTAGTTTCTCATTCTTTATGGCTGAGTAGTACTCCATTTTATTTAAAAAAAACCCACATCTTCTTTATCCAGTTTCCAGTTGGTGGACAATTGGGTTGTTTCCAAGTTTTAGCTATTAGAAACTGTGCCGCTATAACATGGGTGAGCATATATCTCTGTGGTATGATTCTTTTCATTCTTTTGGGAAGATACCCAGCAGGGGAAGAGCTGGGTCAAATGGGGCCTTTAATCCTAGTTATTTAAGGTATTTCCATATTGATTTCCACAATGGTTGCACCAGTCTGCACTCCCAACAACAGTGAAGAAGGGTTCCTTTCTCCCCACAACCACACCAACATTTGTTATTGGTTGATTGCTTGATAGCAGTCATCCTTTCTGGGATGAGGTGAAATCTCAGTGTTGTTTTCATCTGCAGTGACCAGTGATGTTAAACATTTATTCATATGTTTATTTGCTGCTTTTACTTCTTTGTTTGAGAAATGTCTTTTCATTTCAGATGCCTATTTTTGAATTGGGTTTTTAAATTTGAGAAGTCTGATTTTTTTGAGTTCTTTATATATTCTGGATAGTAGACCTTTGTCTGAGGAATAGTTGTTAAAATTTTTCCCCCACATTATAGGTTGTCTCTTAGTTCTGTTGGTGGCTTTTCTTGCAGTTGAGAAGCTTTTGGAAAATATGAGATCCCAGTTGTTTCTTTTTTTTTCCTTTTTATTGAGTTTATTGGTACAATCTAGGTATACAATACAATTACATTCATCATTGGGATTCTGTACCTTTACATAATAGGTCTTGATTCTCATTTTTTCCCCTTGTCCCTGCCCTCCCTTCACCCCCTCCTCCCCTCCCCATTTGCAAACACTTTATTTCCATTTTTTCAGTTTCTCATATTTTTTTCCTCTCCCTTATTACCTTTCCCCCACCCTTCCCACTTTCCTTACACCTTTAGCCCTTTACTTCCTATTTCACATTATTAATTATCTCATTAGGATCCTGTGTACTATTATAGTTTTTCACACCAAAGAAACTATTCAGTATTTCAGTTAAAGAAATCTCTGTATGAACATTAAAAATAGGGAATCCTAAAATAAAACTAAAAAGGAAAGTAAAAGAGAAAAGGCAATGATGTAACATTAAAATAATCCTTAATTCTGGAGATGAAAATGGTCCCTGAACATATTTAAATTGCTTCT